TACTATATCGTACCCGGTGCGTGCATTCATGTTTTTTCATCCTTAAAACCACAATGACTGGTTTTGTTTTTTCTTATTTTTTTTCTTATTTTTACTGTAAAAGGCCCGGGATCCACTTGAGGTAGAGGGATACGATATGTGGTAGTAGGGGAAGTTAACAGCTAACTCTAGACTTGAACAGGCTAAAATTATAGTAGTCGGGGGAAACAGAAGGGGTTCGCGCCAAGAAGCTGTTCGAGTGAAACTTATTTTCTCGCCGACGCAGTACGAAGGGAATGTGGGTGGTTTGCTAAAATGTAAGTGGCATGGCGGGTCTTAGCCGTGAAGATTAGGCCTGGCAGAACCAAGGAATGAAGTTTTGTCCAAGCTCTTTCCATGGAAGTAACAATAGAGCAGCAAGAGGTTCGGCACATCACGTATGTGGGAGAGAGGTTGGAAGGTGGGAAATAATTCAGCACCCACAAGGACTCAGATACGCTTCTGAACTCTGTCACGAATGGAGAATGAAGACTGGTCAGCACTCGCGGAAATATGACAACTGTACTTTTTTTTCAGCCTCTTCTGCCTCTTATAAAGGTAGAGGGTAGCGTGAGAAATCAGGTCTCTTTACTAGAACGGGGTACAGGGAGCCTAACATTTTCATCATCATCATCTTGTGGCCTCAGCCGAGATTGAACTCACTACACCTCTCCAGTATTCCCTATCTGTCATAGCTCCTAAAAGATCTTCCTTAGGGATCAATGTGTCTCGTTTTATCCTATCTGGAAAGGTTAACTTGCGTGATCGATTGTCAGATGATGGGTGCCTCCAGAGTACAAATGATGACACAAGTTCATCTGTGGCACGTGCACAATGCCCGGCGAACTGGACACGTCTTTTGCAAACTAAGGTTGATACTCTTGGCAAGTCTCCATATATCATTTCTAGAGTTGGGCAGTTTCGCCATGAAAGATTAAGCACTCTTCTTAAAAGACGTGTATAACATCCATCTAAACGACGCTGTTGTTTTGCTAAGAGAGTCCAAGTTTCAGAGCCATAGAGTAAGATTGGCTCAATAAGTACGCGGAAAAGGTGGATTTTAAATTGACGAGCAAGATTAGATTTCCAGATCTTATCCATTTTGTTACAAGCAGTCCATGCTATGCCTTTTCTAATGTTGAAATCTTTCTCTGAGTTCTTGATGTGTGATCCTAGATACTTGTAGTCTTCGACAGATTTGAGGATGTTGTCTGAGAGTGTTTTGATCTCATGACATTTTACCTGTATCTTTAGTGATGAATAGCATGTATGAGTTCCACTTGAGGCCAGGTGTGAGTTTGAGGCCCAATTTATGATGACACTGGATCATGACATTCCTCAAAATTTTATATTTGTCACTTTTAATGATTCCTTCTGGAGTTTATCCATACCACGTTTTTGCCCTCACCAATCCATACTTGCCGCAAAATCCGCAGTGTTTCATTCTTGCAACATTAAGATTGTTCTTCTTCTTATTATTATTATTATTAGTAGTAGTAGTAGTAGTAGTAGTAGCAGTAGTAGTTGTAGTTTGACTTGTCACACAGTGTAAGTTTTTGAAAACACCGGATACATTACGCTATCTGTCAATTCACAGGAAAGACCACAGACAGAGAGCAATTTCCTCAAAACATGCGCAATGCTCAAGAGAGACGATTTTTGGATGATTCCAAGTTGGTATGGTATACCCCCCCCCATCAACTGGCCACAGAAGTCACATAGTTTAAATGGAATTGACCCCCAAATACGTTAATCGCCACTGGAATCACCTTGACATTCCCTTCTTGTATTCTAAAAAATCTTGTCATCTCTGCTTTCAAATCAGGGTAGTAATTTTCTCAGTCACCTTGTTTGCTAGATTTCTGACATTTGCTATGGCAACATGAATAATATGACACTTCTTTATATCTTTATCTAGCACAATGATATCCGAATAGCGATGGTGTATCAGTCTTTCCTCATTATGAGTCCAAGAAAATTCAATCTATGATCACACACATTTTACTTGGATAAAAGTCTTCGTAATGTGTGAGTGGTATTTGTGAGTACAATTTTGGTATTTCTTTAAGGCATGGGCTACCAGGAATCCCTTCAATGAGTCTATCCGAACTTTTTCCAATCAATCCGAGTGCTCCAACTACAACTGGAATTATTGATATCCTATTGTGCCACATTTTTTTGAGATTTCAAACAATCTTTTCAGCTCAGCTTTCAAAACAGAGTAGTCTGTAATTTTCTCAATCACCTTGTTTGCTATGGCAACATCAATAATATGACAGTTCTTGGTGCTTTTATCTAGCACAATGATATTCGAATGGCGATGATGTATCAATCTGAATGTCTGGATATCATAGACCCAGAATATTGTGCGCATTCCAGCTTCTTCAATTATTCTGCAAAGCACATGCTTGTATCAATTTTTGGATTATTATTATTATTATTATTTCCTCTTGTTTCTGGCGTATATTCCTTTCTTTCCGGG